GGACCAGATCACCTGACCTTGCTGTGGAATTTCCATTACCTGAAGGTTCTCGTGCAAACAAATGGACATACATCTTTTGGACAAGGAACAATGAGAACAGACTAAGTTAACTTCTTGAAGTCCTTTCTCCTTATTTTGCTACCCTTCAACATTCAAGGCCAGAGACACACGTGAAAAAGCAACAAAATAATTATCTTTGAAGACAGCATGAAGGTTGCCTGATCTGACCTGAAGGAAGCAAAGGCAGTGGAAGGGAGAGGCTCCTTTTACTTCCATATAGTACAGACTCACACACAGGTAATGTACTTGCTAAAGCCAACACACAATTTCCTCACTTACACAACTGTTACATCTACTTGCAAATTTAGAGAAGAAAATGTCAAAAGGTGATTACACATTGCAAAGAACAGAAACACCCACATTTCTTTTACTACCACTCACGAGAAATATGTGTGTGGGAACACAGTTTACTTAATTCCTAGAAGTCACAGTAGGACTGTGACTGTCCACAAATTGTATCTGACTTACTGAAAAAAGTTCTGAAACTTTGGAACGCATTACTATATATTTAAAGTTATATTAACAAAGACTGCCTGTACCATAGATTGTAAGCCTAAAACACATGCAGTGCAACTATTACCTTCTATTTTCCTATGACCTGGCAGAAATTTGAACTATAAAACACTAAGTTCCCAATGGTTGTTGAAACCTATGCAGTTATCCTCTATGCAGGTTTCCTACTAGCAGAACTGAGATTGCTCAATAGTTCAGCCAGTATTCAATGAATAGATCTTTATTCTACCTCTGGAAGAAAAGGCTAAGTACATGTTGAATGTTGTTGTCCCAGATTTTAATTAAATATCATGCAAGAACAGAGCAACACTGAAACCTTCCTAAAAAGGCTTGAAAAGACAGTCACCATCTAAAAAAAGCCCAGGGCCCTGTCTAGGAAACATGCTGTTGGGAGCCAGCACTTACAGTTCTCTTGATTTTGGCCTATAATTCACAGGCTTTTCCCTTTTTACAAGTGAAAATTTCTGAGGTCGAAAGGTGAAAAGTCATTTTGAAAACAGCTTTTTCAGATTCCTATCCTGTGTTAGCCTTGTGTGGGTCCACTTTCCATCACATTAAAGGTTTCCCAGCCCCCCTGTTGGAATCACTAAACATATTGACTTATTGACTGAAATATTTCACATCATTTCACTTCTTGAAGATAGAATGGGTTTCCTCTAATTTTCTAGCTCTTATAATAATTAATTTGCCATGGCAGTACTGATGCTTACAGCTGTCTGAATGTCTGGAGTATTTATTTTTTGGAGAGGTTTAGTAGCAAATCAAGCATTTTCATCTCCCTAGAAGCTCTCTCCATAGTTATTATTCCATCCATGGGTTGAAAGGTTGACCATTTAAAACAGGGGAGGTTTATGTCTTATAACAGTTGATAACATTTTAAGAAAGGATGGTAAAGAAGTCTGTGGGAACTACTAGGCTGGAGTGAGTTTATTGGTGGGTAATTTTACAGATAAAACTGCTCTTTAGAAACACAGTAGAATTGAAATATCTCCCAAGAGGACAGAACTATAGTATCTTATGTTTTTTTCCAAATAATAGAAGAGTATCAAATGAAAAGCTGAGGGACAAAGCTGAGCATGTTTACAACATAAATGCTCAGCAAAGGGCAAGATATCTTGTGATCTATATCTTTAGCGCTTAATATGAGGAACTAGTGAAAGGCTAAAATAACCCTTGGAACCTTCTCCATATATAATGAAATGCAATTCTGCAATTGCATTGAAGAATACAATTACTTGGGACTTTTGAAAAAAATGAGGCAACAGGACTCTCAGTAAGTTCAACAAAGGGCAATGCAGAGTCTGGCAGGTTGGGAATAATAACCCTGTAGACGCTGGGGATCAACCAGCTGGAAAGCAGCCTTGCAGAAAAAAGCCAGGAATCCTGGTAGAGAACAGATTGGACATAAGTCAGCAAAGCACCTTTGCAGCAAAGGTTGCATGAAGTGATCCTTCCCATCAGCCTTAGTTATGGCCACACCTGGGTCCTGTTCTGTGCTTCCCAGTACAAGGCAGACATGGACAAACTGGGACAAGTCCAGCAAAGGTGCATAAAGATGGTAAAGGACTGGAGCACCTCTCATATGAGGAGGCTGGGAAAGCTGGGCTGGACACCTTAGAGAAGGCTTGTGGAAGGATCTCATCAACATGTATAAATGATGAAAGGAGGAAAGAAGATAGAGGCAAGCCCTTTTGAGTGGTATTTAGTGAAAGTGCCAGAGGCAACCAGCACAAACTCAATGCAAGAAATATTAAAATATATTGATATTTCAGTATTTAAGAAAAATGTTTTTCACAGCAAGTGCAATTTATCCTGGAACAGGTTGCTCAGAGAGGCTGTAGAATCTCCATCCTTGGAGATATTCAAAACCTGACTGAACATAGTCCTGAGGGCTCTGCTCTAGCTGGTCCTGCCTGAAAGAGTCAATTAACTAGAGTCTTCTGACATTGCTGTCAACACCTCAGATATTCTGTGATTCTGTATAAAACCAGGTTAATTGTCATAAATACTATGTTCTACCTTAATCCACTATATGGTGAAAATCTGAAGTATGGAAGGAGACCTGTGGGAACTTTACAGAAGCACCACCAAGAAGCTTCAACTGAATACAATACATTCAGATTATATAAAACCTTTCTTTTGTAGCAGAGCAATAATTAGAAAAGCTCAATTTTGGTCTTTACAAATATCCATGTAAGGACATTTGTAATTATTTCTTAAGCTAAAATAAATAACCTCAAAATCCACCAACATGACCCTGCTTCTAGCATCTAAATAAGAATGAATTATCTATTTTTAAAATATAAAAGAACATGCATTGCTAGAAGTTGACTATCCACCCACCTCTATTCACTGAAAACCCAATCATTAAATAGGTGTGTGTGGGAAGTCATTCTAGTTGAATGCCTTACCACCATGAAACCAAATCAAACCCAAGGTGACCATTTGCTCTGTAGTTACTAATGTCCTCTATAGCAGAACCCTTTGCCTCCCCCAACACATTATACTAAAATATAATAGATTATACTAAACATAAGTGCACTGAATAGTACAGGAAATTAACAAGGAACTTGGGGCCAACCATTTAAAATGTAAATGCTTTAAAATAGTGAAAACCTCAAGTTTAAATTTAGTCAGTAGGGGTGGCATGCACCCTGTAAGTTAGGTCGTGACTCTTAACTAGTGGTCAAACACACTTTACAGGACTGTTACTGAGACAAGTCCACCCCTCTTCCTCTAAATCCACTCTAAACCTAAGAATGCATCCCTAAATGGAGAGCTTAAAAACATTACCAATAAGTGGACAAAAAGTTTGGTGCTCTGTGGCTTTGAAAAGTTCCCTGCTAAAGAAAAGTAGTTTTAACTTACAGGAAAGCATACCAGCTAAGTGAAACAAAATTTCACCTCTTAAAACCAGGTCATTTTAAAAATTAAAATGGGCAATTGTAGAATTAGAAACCTAAACCACAGGCATGTAAATATTCAGAACTTTTTTTTTTTTTAAACAAGCTTTTCATCCTTCCTAAATCAGAGAATCCTGGTGAATAATGCTGTCCCACTGCTATTTTGGTAGAGCAACAATGAATCACCTGTATTACTCAACACATCCATCCTTATGAATGCAGGATTACCATGATTTGTATCAGCACTGGTGTTCTGGCATGAGGGTCTAGCAGAATTATACAGCAGTTGGACCATAAACATGAGAAATTTCTGAGGCAAAAATTGCTCCTGGTGCTCAGTCCCACATAACAATTACTGGACACTTACCGCCCAATGGACTGTAGTTTCTGAAACACATCTTAAATAAAAAGTAGCAGCTACCACACTGAAAAAGTCTCCTAAGTCTATCTTTGTGGCAAATTCCAATGTGGAGGAAAAATTAAAACCTATCTGGGAACTTGCTATCAAATTTCAAGTAAAAAGGGAAGTTTGTATTTCAAAATTTTGCTAGTCTTTCCCAGTAATTCTAGTTCAGATGTGTTGTGCCTCTCCTCTCTTCTAAAGCTTAGCGTCTCTAGACTGCTCTCTCCTAGCACAAGCCAGACATCCTCACCAAGGCAACAGTGATACCCCTGCTAATTACATGTCATGAGAAACAGGACCTAGATGAGAAACTGTCCAACTGTCCTGAGACAGGAGACATACAAACTGTATTTTTATTAAGGGGTTTATGCCTTATTTGACTTCTCATGAAAATACAATGAGTTTTTTTAATGTAAAAGTGTACATTATAACATATTTACCAAGTCTCTGTCAGCACCTTGAATGCACCAAGAGGAACTGCTAATACTTTCTCCCCCACTCCCCTGAACTTGGCAGCTCAAGGTGAGATCTGGCACTGCACAGCTGTGAAACCTTGGGTAAGATTGTCATAAAAATGTTGTGCAAGAGTTGGGAGAATGCTTGTTAAGCACGTTTTCCCTTCATTTGGGACCCATACTAAAGCCTAGACTGAATTTAATGTCAAGTCATATTACTGATATGCCTGTATCTGGCCAGGTACCTCAGATCTTGAACTCACAGATTTGACTCCCTGGCTTGATCTAGGACCTGGCTCAGCAGTACAGAGGCACTTGGAGATCTGAACTCTTGGCTTGACCCCCTTTGCTGTCATTGGACCTGCTCTGGTGTCTTTGTTCATGTATTGTGAGACTGCTCCTTCATGGATGATGCATGCCACTGCCCCCTGCCTTCCTTGCTGTCAACTCCCAGCTCAGCTCAGTTGTGGAGAAGCTCACTTTTCCTTCTCCTTAAGTGTCAAATTCAGTTGTCAAATGAAGAGGAAAAAACCAGCAAATTACTTTTCAGACAGCACTTGATGAAGGTGGGTGGTTCTTTCTACCAATGTTGCTATTAATTGAGTCCAAAAAGTTTTAAAAAAACATGGTATGTTCATATGTGTAAGTATAAAGATCAGTACTCACGCAGAAGTTGTCTGCATATCATGCCAGCTTTTGCTAAAGTTCTGCTTCAGTTCATTCATCAGACTTATGCCAAGTTTTTGTTTAATTTCAACCAGGTGCTTCTCTTTGGCTGCTAGCACTTGCCGCAAAGTTGAAATTTCATCCTCTAGCTGAGGGAAACAAGGAGAAAGGAGTTAGCCTGTTCCCACAGAATGATAAACACATACAATGTTAAGAGGCTAAAGGAATCTCACAAACTCGTGCTTTTTGTAGGTACCTAGAGAGACTGAGTCAAATGCTTGTGGAGGTCACAAAGGCATGCCCAGAACAGAGCTGACACCATGTTAAGTTAATGCCTCTGTGTCACCTCTGTTCACCATCACACACATGCACCTGATAAGAGAGAATTATCCAGTAAGGAAGCGACTTCACCAAAGTCTGCCTTAGGGCATTAGGAGTCTCAAATACCAGCTTTTCATTCACTAGTAAAATGGGAATGGACAGGACAAGAGAAGACTGGAAAACTCAAACAAATATCTTCCTTTAAATGCACAGGCTTTGAACATCATACTTGCAGGTTTTTAGTCTTCTGGTCCTGAAAAAAACATATGCAAACTCTTAGAAGCAGGTAAAAAGCCAGAAAAAGCTGCATGATAATATATGACTTGAGAGTACCACCAAACATTATGTCCTTGTCATATGCGTTTTATTCATGTATTTTAGGCCCTACATATTTCAAAATCGTAACACAAAAATTTGTAGTTGAACTATTAACATGAGTGATCAGTACCTAAAACATAAAAGCACTCAGAAGACAGAGCAGATTAGTTTTTCCAGAGATCCTAGTATTTAACCAAACTCTGCAATTTCAAGCTGTATATAAATATCTCTGCAGTAGACATTCTTTTGAAGCATTTAATCAAAGCCAGTGTTTTACCAAGGCAAGAACCAGAAGATAAGACTGTAAGAAGAGGGACTCCAGAATGGACCTGCCACTGGCTCAGAATCCTGCTCCTTGGGCAGCACTCCTGCAAGTGAGCAGGGGCTTGCATTCTTCACCTGGAAGCCTCCCAAGCCAATCTATACAAGCAGCACACTGAGATACTGAAGCTAACAAGGGCAAGTGACACCAGAGCAGCTGCCTTTCACTTCAGGTTTAGAAATTCCCCTACCAACTGTGTTCTTTCCTCCATATGTTAGTAAGGTAACATATGGCAACTTATCTGATTACCATATGCTAAGCTCCCTGGAACCACAGTCTCCCTCTGATTTAACTCCATTGGCTGCAGGGAATGATGCAAGCACCAGCTGAAACAGTACTGACCTCCAAGGCTATATTTAGGATATCAGTACCAGCATTATTTTATTGTACACATTCATGCATTCTGCCTCACTGTAAAACCGGCTGCAACCTCACTGTTACTGGAAAAGTCTCATACTTGAATCCCTCAGCTATCAGTTTCTTTTGTCATTACCTGCTATTTCAATGTACAAGCAGCAAGGCTAAGAACACAAAGCAAAATCTTAACCTGAGTGAACCAGATTTTAGTATTCACCAATGCCTGTGATGCCAACACCTCACCAGTACTGTTGTAATCCAAATTGCTTTGTTCCTCCCCATGTCCTTTATGCTTCATTACCTTCCTAACCTGCAAATGGAATACTGTCAAGAGGCAGGTGTCAAGAGGCTCTCTTCTGAGAAGGTAACTGGTCATATGCTTATAGAAAGAAAGCACAAATGTCACCATTCCTCAGGCAGCAGTTCAGAGCTCTTTTTGGTTGTTTCTCACCAAGAGCAAACCCCTTAGTGCATGACTACCTGTGCAATACTGCCAAAGAACTTTACTTAAACTGATGCCAGGACAGTTATGGGCCAGTACTAGGTTGAACATCAGGTACTTGGATACATAAACATTTCAGGTCTTCTATTAAAATTAATTTCCATCTGTTCCATTGAATAGACATCTTAAAGCTGTGATAACCTAAGCAAGTATTAGCCATGTGCTCAATGGCAGAAGTATGAGCAACATTTTTGATTAAAGAAAAGTAATTTATTATTTATAACACAGCAATCAGTTTTGAATTGACAAAATCCTCCTCAACTTCCATCACTTTGAAATAATGACAGATACAAATCCGCCCTCAAGTGCTCAAATATCAGTGATGACTCTGAAGTAGGTAGAAAGGATTAGGGACTTTACAGTAGGATCTTGAAAAGCATTTAAGCATGTAACATACCTAATTCTCATGGAAGTCAGGCATCACCTGTTTAGGAATTTTTTAAGTCCACTTTTGTAAATGTTTATAACTCCATTATAAAACTAGGGCTTAGGTAAAGAGAAATACAAGCTTCTAATTCTCATGATTCCCTTCTTTCAAAGTGCAACAGAGTCAGAAGAATATAGGCACATCATACAAAGGCAAAGTTCTCTTCTCTCATAAGTTTGCAGAAAAAGGTACTATTATAATCTTTCCTCAAAGTGGGAACAAACATGCAGTAGCACACACTGCTGATGCTGTGCATCAGCTAGATCAAAGCAGATAGCTCCTCCTGGGAAGGTGTGGGAGGGGGAAGACACCAAAGAGTAAATGAGCGCTTTGATGAGTGTAATAGAAGGACAACTGACAGCAGTGAGCAAGGTAGCTCAAAATCTCAGCCCCCAGCATGACTCAAGAGTCATTGTACAATGCTCCTCACAGCGAGGGGGGCGGGGGGAATCTGTTCTGCTAACAATCTTCTGGCCTTATGTAAAGCTTTTGGGCTACAATTTTCTGCTGTTATTCTGAGAAGTCAGACTGACCTCTGTAAATTCAAATGACTGTTAGAAGCTTCTGTAAGAGTTACTCATTTTAGTTGCATTGTAGAAATCCTAAGGCTTGATTAGAGTCAGAGCCCTGCTGTTTTAGCTGGGTTACAAATACAAGAAAAGAGCAAGTCCATGTTCTGAGAAGTTTCCAGTAAAAAGAGATTATTAGCAAGAGAATAGGAATAGAGGATACAAAAAAATCCTGCCAGAAAACCAGTAGTGCTTGTTCCTCTCCTAATGTCAGAGTGAGAAGGAGGAAGAAAACAAAGAATATATACATTAGATAAACAACACAGAGATGAAACACATATTTTCTGCTTAAATAAATGCACAACAGGTGCTCACAAACAGGTCCCCATTTTATCAACTACTGATGGAAGAATTAAGGATGATTTTTACCCCTCTGAACAGTAGGAGAGGTGCTTGTTCCTACAGGTTCAAACAGATATTATTTAGCACATAAGGACATTAAGAAATGAAGGACATAAGCACATGAAGAAAACAAAACTATCATTGGTGGAGCAGAAAGGGCTTGTAAGTAAAGACTAACAGATTTTCAAAAGGAAACATTACCCAATTCCCACATTAGCAAATTTTTCTTTCTGAAGGAGGCAATGTCACACATTTTTTTGCAGTCTTTTATAAGAGTCATTAGCCTCATTTAACTTTAGACTTTGTCAGACTTTGTTCACTCTACATTCAAGTTTTCCAAATCTTTCTTAGCATAATTATCAGTTTTATTTTGCTTTTAAGCATCAGCTTCACACCAGTAATCTGCTGTGAGGAATTCAGAAAATAATTCCTAGGTCAGTCAAGATCATAATATTTGACAGGCAATCTCTCACTTGCATGTCAGTACAGAAATTAAAGCATTTCCAGCATGAGCTAATGAGAATTCTCTCTCCTATGGCAATCAGTAAGCAGAAGGGACACCCAGAAACATTTGAGATTACTTCTATTTAGAGAGGTGTATCATTCTCAGATGATTGCAGGAAGTTCTGGCCTTTTTTCCTTTCTTGCTTCTACCTGCTAGTGAAGTCCCTTTCACCAGAGAAGAGAATCACAGAATGGCTGAGGCTGGAAGGGACCACTATAGGACACCTGGTTCAAGCCCTACCTAGAGCATGTTTCCCAGGACTGTACCCAGCTTTTAAACATCTTCAAGGATGGAGACTCCAAAACAACGTGGAGTACACTGCTCAGTCACACACAATAAAAACATGCTTCCTGATGTTCAGGGGGAACCTACTGTGTTTCAGTGTGTGCCCACTGCCTCTGGTCCTCATAAAAAGCCAGTAATGAATATGCCAACTCCTAACTAATTTGATAAACTGATCATGTAAACTTTCAGCTTCCTTCTGATTATTTACAGATGTGACAGGATCAGCAAAGTAAAAGTTAACTAGTAACTCAGAAACACAAAGATTGATAAAATATTAAAGCGAAAAAACAGTCTTCTGCTTCACTTGAACATCCTGAATCAGCACTGCAGGTAAATTACTTGAAAGTCATTACTTTGTAAGTACATTGTAAGTAAGTACTTTGTAAGTAAGTACTTTGTAAGTACTACAACTTAATATCAATTTAAGTATTCCAGTTAAGGCGAAACCAACTCCTCACATTCATATGGCTGTGATTTCTGTTATTTGACTCATATTTAAAAAAATTAAACCCACAGTTTTCCTCCATTATCTCATTTTCCATTCTGGAATTTCACTTTTCTGCAGTATCCAGCAGCAATAATTAAAACTGAGTCTATCCTTCCATGGTAGACCAAATTTAGACAGTCTCTTTAATCTTTGTAATAAAGAGATCATGTGGTTCACACCTTTTTGCTCCCATCTCCTTATTATTTTTAAGCCTCTTCACAGTGTCCTGAGTTCCAGACTCCTGAAAAAAGATACTACCTTCTCAAAACACATCAGTGCCAAAGGAAACAAAAATGTGATTAAATTACTGTGCTTGTTATTATCAGCCTCTTCTGCAACCATCATCATTACCTTTTCCTCTGAGCACCACAAAAAGAAATTTTTCTATCAGGTGGCACAACCACTGTAACAACAATACCACAGATCTAATGAGAACACCTTTCATTCTTTTTCAAGGAATGTTTATAAAGACACATCTTGACTAAGATGAGAACGTGCATTTGATTTTCACAGTACAATCATCAAGTATAAGATATTTAACCTTCAAAAAATAGGTATATAAGCTGCATTATTGTTGCCTAGAATAATTTTACCAAAAAGGTAAGGCATGCCTTTATGATGTATACTTCATGCTAAAATTAGTAGTTTCCTGTTTAAGGAAGTAGAAACAGTAACACTCACAGAAATTCAAATTCATTACCTTGGCTAGCTCAATCTTTAACTCTTCTTTTTCTTCTTCAGAAATCATATTGGTGAAATCAACATCAGTGACCACATCTTCATCTGCTTCATGGAACGACTGAGTTTCCAACAGGCCTTAAAAAATTAAAAGGTCAAGACAACCATTATTATTTCAACTATTGTATTGGCCTCCCCTAAAATATAAGAATGATATAGTATTTACCCACTAGGAAAAAAAAAAAACAAAAACAAAAACAAAACCAAAACCAAACCAAACCAAAAAAAAAAAAAACCAAAAAAACAAAACAAAAAAAAAAAAAAACCAAAACCAAAAAACCCCCCCCCAAAAAAACAAAAAAAAAAAAAAAAAAAACCAAAACCAAACAAACCCCCCCCCCAAACAAACAAAACAAAACAAAACAAAAAACCCAAACCCTAACCTTTTCCTGCTACAATCATTTGCATTCAGCTTCTCTTTGCTTCTGAAAAGCTATTGGAAGTATCAGAGTGTCTGCACAGGAGCAATTGAGTATGTGTAAACACCACTCATTTCCAGAAATTAATCACCTTGGACCCTACTAATCCCTGATAAGGCATTTTCTTGCTTCTAACAATAAAGAAGAAAAAAAAAGAAAGCTTTTTCTTCAAAATAAGAAAGCTGGCTAATGTGGATCACTGCTGCGAAGAGTAGCAATAGTACACCGAATAATAAAGGAAGTATATTACAGAGCCAAGTTTTCTCTAAAAGTACCTCTGATTGCAGCAACTTGAAACCTTACAGATGCACACAGTTTGCAGAAGCAAATGTCACACCTATTGTTTGAATTTTCTGAATGCTAGTGAGAAGCATTCCTTGATTGCTCAATCTAAGCCTGTGAAGGGTGGACAAATACACTGGACCTTGTTACTTTCTTCTTCTGCATGCCCAAGATCAGGGTCAGTATCTCTAATAAGCAAGATAAGTGCATACATAAATGCCTGCAAGACCAGGGCCTGCCTGGCATAATAGGTACTGATGAAAGAAAATACTTCCTATCTCCTAATCATTCAGTGAAGAGAAGATTTCTGGGGCTCCAGCTGCTAAAAGCCTCTCATTCTTTATGGTCTGCAGAGAAAACAAAGCAAACCATGAGATAACAGAAAACATTCCAGTCACTTTGGAACTCGCCTTAAATTCTAGACCTTCTTCTGTTGTGGAACAAAAATCTCCTCCAGGTTACACCTGGGACAGCACTTTTCCCTTTATTTCAGTTCCCTAGCAGGGTAATGAGCCATCTCTGCTGACTCCTGAGACCTGTATACTGCTTAACAGGAAAGAGAACAATTTCTTTCCTACCTTCACAGAGGCCTGTATACTCTATTATACAAAGATTAAAATACAGCTTAGTTAAGTTTGGGCATTAAAGAACGGAGGTTACAAGGAACAATTCTATTGAAAATGAGTACTTTACATTTTCATGCAGAAAACTAAATTCCCTCCAGCCTTCTGCCATTTCCTTCACCTAGAGTCCCCCAGTGTACCTGGGTTTCTTTCTATTTAACAGAATAGAACTGATTCAATTCATACCATCAGCTTCCCTGCAGAACATGATGGAGTGAATTCAGCCTTGTTAATTACAATCTTCTCTGAGTGGGAAGACAAAAAGCAGCAACACAGGTGCTGAACCCCTGCTTGGCACTCTATGCAGAAATAGATCACCACCCTTAAGCACAAAACCTTCTAAAAACATGATGGCATATAGAAGTAGCTGAAATCTTAGCTATTATCCAAAAAGCAGCTTGCCAGGAAAACCTAGATTGCTGAAGTCAGGACAAAGGAAAGCATATTTATTCAGTAGGAACGCTCCCAAATCACCTTTATTAACACCCCTGCATCTCTAAACACAATTGTTATTTGGTATTTGTTTGAGAATTAATAGTGTTGCTATGGGACTCGAGCTAAACTTAGTCTTGAAAGCAGTCTATTTTTTCATGGATGGAGGAGCAGTGGTACAGGGCAGCTGTTGGAAATGCTGGGAAGGATCTAAGGGGCAACAGGATTGAAAACCCTTAAGGGAAGCCTTGGGATAGATGTTGAGATGAGGTGATCTCAGAGCAACTGATCATTAAGCCAAAAAGAAGGCAGATCCATCCATGCTCAAGGGAAAACATCAGTTTTGGAACAGCTATTCAGAAACAACTGAATAACACTTAACACTTGGCCCAATGGTCAAGTTTAAACTTCAAGACTGGACTGAAATTACAATCCACTCCAAAACAACAAATACATGTCAATCTTCTCTATGATACTTTGCAAACTCATCCAGTTTCTCTCTCAGTTTTTGTCCTTTGCTTCTTGTTTAAGTCCTCTAAAATCTGGTCTGATCCTTCAGTCTCTACTTTCTTATTCAAACTACGAGAGTCTTCCATAAAGGTCACTGTCCCTCTCCAAATGTTTCAATTTGGCCATCTCACAGCTCCAGTCTGAACATCTCTTCAGCATACTGTGAGTCACAGCCTTCTTTAGGCCAGTCTGAGTTCTGAAACTTCTTCATGTGAGAGTACTTAGATTCTAGCAGCAGCAATAGCAGAGTGGTTACAATTAGGACATTACATTTGTACTGGAGCACAGCAGAGGTCAGCATCCACCAGCTCAGACTCATACTGTACTAGTTCTCCACTGAAGTTACAGAGCTCATCAGCCCAGGGGTGCTGATAACCTAACACAGTGCTTTGGAGCCTTAAGGTAGGACTCAAGAATGCTTTGGATCACAGGTGTACCTATTGCTCAGGATTTGTGGGTGTTTCTGCACTGTGTGACACTGCAAGGCAAGCAGAACATTTCTTCCAGTCACTGGTTTCTCTCTCTAGATACTGTCATCTCTCACACTTTGGTCTCCAGACTGAAGGAAGTTCTGTGATTCCCTGACCATGCAGGACATGGAGCAGCCTAGCACCCTCCAGTACAACTGAAGGGATGTAAGCCCACCTACAAGTTTTGATCTCATACAGCCTCAAAATCCTGGGTGGGCATGGAATAAGAAGCAGAGAATCATAGAATATTCTGGGGTGGAAGAGACCCACAAGGATCATCAAAGCCCAGTTTCTGACCCTGCACAGGCCAAGCCCTAGAATCATACCATGTGTTTCAGAGTGCCCAAGCACTTCATGAACTCTGTCAGGCTTAGAGCTGTGACCACTCTCCTGGGAAACCTCTTCAGTGTCCAACCACCCTCTGGGTGAAAACCCTTCCTTAATATCCAATTTAAACCTCCCCTGCAACAGCTCCAGGCTGTTCCCTCAGGTCCTGTCCCCTGGTCATGAGAGAAGAGATCAGCGTCAGCCTCTACACTTCCCCTCATGATAAAGCTGCAGACTGCTATGTCTTCTCTCAGTATTGAAGAAGACTGAGGCAATTTCCTCTCCTGCCCAGCTACATAACCTGACAACACACAGGAACTGCTCTGGGGAAAGACAGTATTTTTGCTTAAAGATGCATAGGTATTAGTTATGAGCCATGAAGGCTTGATCACTCTGGGAAGGGTAATCAGGTACAAATAGCTGAGTTGTTTTCAAGATTAACATAAGGTCATTGGTAATAGGAAAAAACATTGCCCTCAAGTTGCATCCACTTTCCTCTTACCTACTCCTCCCAGAAATACTGAAGATCATGCCTTGCTTCCAGCTGTGGTCAGATCTGGAAAATCTGGAATTGTGATTAAATTGTTATTAATTGTTCAGATGCAGAGCTGCTGTTATTTCAGAATTGCACTAATATCCAGGTGTGAAATTGGAAATCAATTTTCCACCCTTTTAGAAGAGCAATTCAGTTGTTGGGTGATTGAATAACTTTTGCTTTACCTTGTAGTATAGGTGTTACAAGCTTCCCTGAATGAATTAGGAGCTAGCTCATCCAGTAGCTTACCAGCCATTTACAAGAACCTGTGGCATTGGTGATGTCCTCTATCTCTTATGTCCTTTACTAACAGCACATTATTTTAGGCATTGACATCCACATATTGATCTAAAGCACAGGTTTTCCAAATTGCATTCAAGCAGGCCACTAACAGGTAAGGCATGAGGATAGAGACTAGGCACTACCTCTAACTAACATCTGGTTTCTTCTCCTACTATGTCTTACACAGATTAACTTAATTCTGTTGCTCCTAATTTAATTTCAGTTGCTGTGCCTGCCCAGCAGTTCTATTACACTGAAAAAAAAAAATCACACAAGAGGCATCAATGGAACAGGAGCTGTCTTAGAACCTGTTCCTTGAACTTCTTCCCCTCCCTCATTCTCCATGGTCAGCTAAGGAGTTCTCATTACCTATCCCCTTCTCTCCACTTCTCCATTTGCAATGAAGCTCAATCCAGAGCTTAATGAATTAATCAACAATTAGCTCTGGGATATGCTGCCACAAGACTCTGCCCAGAGACAGGTGCAAGACCCAGCCCACCTCCCTTATTACCTCTTCTAGATAGCCTCGTCTTGTGGTGTAGGACTGCTGGAGATAAGACTGCAGGTCCTATGGTCTCACACAACCTCCTGATACTACAGCAAATTACACTAAGAATATATTCATGTGTAATTCATTTATTCTCCACAAACAGGCAAACTAGTTTGCCTAACTATGAAGTAGTTAGTAACTATGTTACTTCAAAATAACAAAAAACCCTGCCCCCATAAAGTGTGGGAAATCATGAAATAGGTTCGAATCAGTGCAAAACATGGTTTGGCTTCTAGTTTAGAGAAAGGTTTAGTAATTACTGTCACATATATCATTAGATAAAATATGAATGAAACATTAAAAGTATGGGATTATCAGTAAATAAGAGCTGCAAGTCATAAAGAAGGACACAAGTTGAAACAAATGAGCCTCCTTTGTATTAGGAGGTTTATATAGAAAGAAGTAGGAGGAGATGAATAGCTGGGGAAGCACATTTATTGTGTTCTTCTGAAAGATTCACAGGACAAAATAATACAACAACCATGCAAGTAGTTCCAGTGTGCTGAAATGGGCATTTTTTGTTTTCTCCCAAAGTTCATGGTAATTGTAGCTAAGACTAGTGACCCTAATTCTACAGTCTGCTGTTAAAACTGATTTAATGCAAGAAACTGTTTCAACATTGATCAATACCTTTGCATATGT